GCTATTTTAAGCTACGTATTTCTTAAAGACTTTGAAGTTGAGACTTCAGCCTCCCTTCCTTGGCTGAAGTTCCACTTCTTACTGTGTTAGAGAGCAGATGAGTCATTACTACAGACATTAAAAGGTCAGTTGGCCTGTCTGCTTCCAAAGCACAGTAAAAATAATACCAAAGACTTTCTAAATTCTGACAAAATCTTTGAATAATCATCTTTGGGGATTGCTTAATTAGAGAAATATAATTTTAACTAGCAAAAAAAGGAATAAGCCAGATAAATTTCCAGTTCAAAAATTATTTTTATGGCATATTTACATAAGTAAAGAAGCATCCTAAATATCACTTATATTTATCCTTTATTATTAGTTTTCAACTCTGAAATTGTCTAATACTAAATTATAAATTGACACATTTCAGCACATTGAGCATGCAAGATAACCAATTCATTGATTTTATTAGACTTTTTTTTTTTTTGGTGAAGAAGATTGGCCCTGAGCCAACATCTGTGCCAGTCTTCCTGTACTTTGTACATGGGATGCCACCACAGCATGACTTGATGAGTGGTGCATAAGTCCAGGCCTGGGATCTGAACCTGTAAACCCTGGGCCTCTGAAGCAGGAGCGCATGAACTTAACCACTATGCCACTGGGCTGGTCCCTAGACTTTTTAAAGTTACTATTGCATTGAAACAAATAATACTACCTTAGGAAAAATTTGAAACATAGATGCCTGAACAGAGTACAAGCTCTTAGAGAGGAGGGACCAGGTAGGTTTTGTGTCCTTAGAGTATGTTTATAATATCAATATTTTATTTTTTTAATTATTTATTTATTCTTTTTTTTTTTGGTGAGGAAGATTGGCCCTGGGCTAACATTTGTTGCCAATCTTCCTTTTTTTGCTTGAGGAAGATTGGCCCTGGGCTAACATCTGTGCCCATCTTCCTCTATTTTGTATGTGGGACGCTGCTACAGCATGGCTTGATGAGCAGTGTGTAGGTTTGAGCCTGGGATCTAAACCCACAAACCCCGGGCTGCTGAAGCAGAGTGCCCAAACTTAACAAGTACACCACCAGGCTGGCCCCTCATTATTTTATTTTTAACAACTAATCTGAAAAAATATTTTTGGTTGGATGAGATCTGTGGATCTTGGTATTTCTTAAGGAAATCACAACTCAAGTGTGGGTACATAATGACAAATTGCCTAATATAAGTTCCAAATAAATTGTGATTACATTTTACTTTCTTATTTTCCTTTATTTTTGGTATGCTAGTCAAGGTCAGAGCTATTCATTATAGATGTCCATAGATATCACAATTCCACTTTCCAAAAGTATTCATAGAATTATACGGAAATTATTCCAATTCTCATTAATATGCTTGAACTTCCCCAGAATAGAACTATTTAATTTAGCTTTGCATACCCAGCACCTTGGACAGTGCCGAGCGTAAACTAAGCACTTACTATCTATTTTGGAGCAGACGAATACATGAATGATTTTGTCCTGATACTATAGTTGTCTTATATAAAGCTGGAGATACTAATCACCAGGACTTGGATATCTTTTTTATTTTGCTGTAATGGTGTTGCTTGTATGCAAACTACTCCCAAATTGTTTTTATTTTATTTTTAATGCAAGATGTTACACTTAGAAAATAAAATCTCTTACACTAATATTCATGCTGGCATAAACAATTAGTTTTTCAAGATACTGATCTCCTTTTACCTACAAAACCACGATACTGATGTAAAAGAAATTTAATTACAAAAAATCCCCTTTCTAAAGCAGTCCTTACTTTTATTCTCATCTTCAAATTCGCCAAGGAATTCTTAGAGGTAGGAGGGAGACCTTCATGCTCCCCCCTCCCAAAAAGAAAAAAACGAAACTGGAAGAGAAAAGAGAATTTTCCAGTCGGATTTTAAAAATATTATTACTGTGGAATGCTATGGTTTAGTGTGCATTGTAAAGGCATATATTCTGAATTCCCTTTTTTCCCCTGAATTCTCTTTAAGCTCATATCTTATAAATACACTCCTGATGATTCCTGTTATCCTCATGCACCACTATAAAGATTACGGATCCTAGCAATTGTTCCTTGGATTCACAGTGGAAACTAGAACTTCATAAAGGGGAGAAGAAAATGTACCGAAGGCAAACCAGTCTTTAAACGATCTCTGTAAACCGATATTTATTCGGTTTGCACTAAATTAGTCGTTGCACTAAATTGCACAATAACCCTTTGTCCGCGGGACGGTGGGTCTGGCAACCATTATCTCCTCGTGGAAACGACGTCTGCTGACTCCGCCCGGGCTGGGGGTGGGGAAAGTGCACCGCGTGGAGAGCTCCACTGAGAATTAAAGTGAGCGAACAAAGAGAACTCCCAGCAGCCGCCCGCCAGCGCCTCGCAGCAGCATCATGAGACGTCAGTCACGCCCAGGACGCTGTTGGAATCCGCCTCCCTGAGAAAAGAGCTCGAGTAAATAATTGATGGAGATTGATCCAGCCCAGGACAAAGCTTTACAGAAAACCAGTGCTTCCGATTTCGAGAGGTTTGGGAATCTTCTACCAAGTACAGGATATGGGACTTTGAGCGCGACCACTGGTCTTCCATCCTGGGCGTGGCTCTGGCCTTTTTGTCTTCTTGCCCACCCACGCCTCCTCGCCCCCGTCCCTGCCTTCTTCTCTTTCCTCTTGAAAGTAGCCTCTCTTTGGTGACTTCTACCCTGTCCTCCCTTGCAATTCTGCCCCCTCCCCTGCGGGGTCCGGTGAGGTCAGCTCATGAATATCTGTGCACTTCCTGGGGAGCGTCTGGCACGGCTTGGTACCTCGCGTGTTCGCCTCCTCTGAGCCGCAGCTCCAGCCCAGCCGCGGACTGCCCGAAAGGAACTCGCTCTGGGGCTGCTGAGTCTGCACGTTAACGCCATTGTTTGGAGAAATCGAGTGGGTGTGGAATTGGAGCGAGCGGGCCCAAAGTCGTGCTCAGCCAGAAAGTCGCATAATATACTACGAAGTTAAACTTTCCTCGTCTCTGAAAGCCACAATAATAAACCCTGAGATCCCTGGAAGATCAAAAGGAAAGGCTGTTGATTTGCATCAACTTCGAAACATCGCCTCTGCTGAGAAGTGAGCAGTTCCTCTGGATTTCTAAAGGGATGGGGATGAGAGACGGGGTGGGTCAGTGGGCAGATAAAACTGTATTTTAAAAATGCTGGTTTGGGCCGCTCGGGGGTTGCTTGGTTGGTGATTTCCACGGGTGAAGCTTTGAAGAGACACAGCTTGTCACTTTGTAAGAACCACGTGACAGAAGCCAGATTGTGGGAGCTGGGTTCCTGGAACCCGAGCTTTCTCCTGGGTTAGAGCTGTATGGGGGCCGAGTTGAAGCGTTCTCTGGTGGCACTCAGTTCCAGAGTAATTCTGCCTAATTCAGAACAAAAATAAGGTTGTGTTGGCAATATGACTTGTTTGGTCCACATTACTATGACCTGTGCTGATGAACTGGGCTCTTCCAGGAGCATGTGGCTCCAGGAGAACATGTAGAAAATAAGTTGACCGGCAACTTTTTTTTTTTTCTCTAATGTCTTCTTTGTTCACTGTTGTTTTCCAAACCTAGTTGGAAGGAGATGCTGGAAAGAGAAAGGGAGGTGGACAAGGATGCTTCCAGTAATATTCCTTTATAAAATGAGGCATTACTGCACATTGACAAATAACAGGAATAATGGGAGTAAAGTAACCAACAGGCATCTCCTCTCCTAAAAGGAGTTTTTTTCTAAGTAGAACTTTCTGCCTAGTCATGCCCTTTTCAGTACTTTAGAGAGAAATTATAGTTTTAATGAAAAGGCACCTGATTGACTAGCTGACTAGCTAGCTGGATCACTAGGGAGAAGAACCCAGGAGGCAATGGCTTGCTATTTTCCGGATTTTAAAAGCCAGTGATGGATTTATCTTAGAAAAAATGCACAATACAAATTGACCTTATCACCATGAGTGAGGCTGCACCAGCTGTCTTGGGTGCAGGGTCATTCTGCCTCAGAATTTGGTTCCATAGGAGGGACTGGGCACTTTAAAAGTACAACTTTGCTTATGATATGCCATGTAAGAAGATGCTTAAGAATGAAAATATTTTATATCTAACAATTACACTTAAAACTAAAATGATTCACAAAAACTATGGAATTTGGATAAGTTTAGAAAAAGTCATCACCTGTAATTTAAGAAATTGTGCAGAGCCTCGAATAAACTTTTCCAAAAGCATTTTAAAAATTATTTCCCCAAGCCGAAAAAAATCCCTTTAGGGTTGCTAATGACTAGACCATATAGATGATTCCTAATGCCATTATTTTCTTGAAACTGAAGTTGATTTAAAGTCATTCATTATTTATATTTTTTTTAGTTCTACTCTAAAGGAAATTGGATGCATTTCTCTAACCAAGAACAACATTAAGCGTTAGAACTGTTTGAGAGAAGTGCCATTTATCCGTAGCAAATTTTCTCTAGGAACCTACATCATAACTCTTTTCCTCTAACTGACCCTTGGGAATATTAATTAAATAAAACCATCTCCACTAAACTAGGCTTTAAAATGCAGGTTTGATAGTGAGGAAAAGCAAAGTTGAAAAAGCAGGGCATTGACATGTAGACATCTCCTTTTCCTTCTGAAGCGTTTTCTTGAGCTTATCCTCTTTTTTTTTTTTTTTTTTAATCTCTCTTCTTAGCAATCCTTTCTGACTCTATATCTCGCCCTTGCCAAAACCTGCTCCCGTGAAAATGTTAGGTTTAGCTGCTTTCCGATCGTCATCATTCTGCTGAAGTGGAGTGAGATGGAGATCGCGCCTCCCTGGGCGAAGTGAGAATTGACAATTGTGCATCCTATTCCTAAAGTCAAGGGTTATATTAAGCGCCTTCCAAATCTCATTTTCTAGGGCCTCTCTTGCTTAAGAAAATCACTCTTTGCTCTGTAACAATTCAGACATGCTGTGCGCTTCCCTTCTTTTGTTTCTGTCCCAGACTAGAAAGAACGGTTGGTGGCGGTGAGGAGGAAAGAGAATGATCCGGTGATGGACCATTCTAAATCGCATCCGGTAGATTTCTCCTAGACTGCCATGAGTCAGCCACCGACGGGGGGCGCTGCCCCTGCCACCACCGCAGCTTCTGCCGCCACCGCTGCCACAGAAGCTCGCCTGCACCCGGAGGGCAGCAGCAGAAAGCAGCAGCGTGCTCAGTCACCCGCTAGACTGAGGGACAATTCCGTCCGACAGACAACCGCGGCCACTCGGTCCCCGGCGGGGGCCGGCACTAAGGTCAATTCTGTTCGACAGCAGCAGCTGCAGCAGCAGCAAGGCAACAAGACCGGGAGCCGCGCGGCGCCTCCGGCCAGCGCCCGAGGCGGCGGAGGCGGGGCGGAGAAGGCAGCGCCCCTGGCGCCCAAAGGGGCCGCGCCGGGAGCTGTCCAGCCCGCGCCTGGTGCTGAAGCGGCCCCCGCGGCGACCCTGGCCCCGGTGGGAGGCAGGAGGCCTGGCCCGTCGGAGGAGCCGCCCCGGGAGCTAGAACCCGTGTCCTCTAAACTCGGGGAACCCCCTCCGCTCGGGGAAGGAGGAGGAGGGGGTGGGGAAGGAGGAGGAGCCGGCGGCGGCTCCGGGGAAAGGGAGGGGGGCGCTCCGCAGCCGCCGCCGCCGCCGCCGCCCAGGGGCTGGCGAGGGAAAGGCGTACGCGCCCAGCAGAGGGGCGGCAGCGGCGGGGAGGGGGGCTCCCCTTCGCCATCCTCCTCCTCTGCGGGCAAAACCCCAGGCCCTGGCAGCAGAAACTCCGGAAGCGGCGTGGTGGGGGGCGGCAGCGGTGGCGGAGGGAGCTACTGGAAGGAAGGATGTCTGCAGTCTGAGCTCATCCAGTTCCATCTCAAGAAAGAGCGGGCGGCAGCGGCGGCGGCCGCGGCTCAGATGCACACTAAGAACGGCGGTGGCAGCAGCAGCAGCCGCAGCTCCCCGGTCGCTGGCGCCCCTGCCATTTGCGAGTCCCTCGCAGTCCCTTCCTCCTCCCCAATGGCGGCGGCAGCAGAAGGCCCCCAGCAGAGCGCGGAGGGCAGCGCGAGCGGTGGGGGCATGCAGGCGGCGGCGCCCCCTTCGTCGCAGCCGCACCCGCAGCAGCTCCAGGAGCAGGAAGAAATGCAGGAGGAGATGGAGAAGCTGCGAGAGGAAAACGAGACTCTCAAGGTGAGGAGGGTGGGGGGGAACCTGGTGGGGGAGGGGTGGTGTGGGCCTCGGAGGATTAGGGCGTGTCCGGGCGGGGGTGAGAGGCTGCTAACCTGTCAGGGAGCCTTAAAGAGGGAGGGGAACAGGAAATGAGGGGAGGGGGTTCCTCGGCCTTTTCTGGATTTAAAACAGCCTGAGATTAGTAGCGTCTGGTTTTAATTTAAATCCAAATCTAGGCCTTTGTTTCTCTAATTATCATGGCTTGTCCCACTTTTTCATGGAGAAAGCTAGAGTAGGAGAGAGAGAGAAGGCCTAAAGAGGGCCCATTTTTTTAGTTTCTTCTCTTTCATTCAGCTCCATGTTACTCCTGTCTCATGGAGAGGAGGCAATAAAGCTGAGAATTTGGAGTTGGGATGGGGTGTACGCGGAGTATGTCGGAGGGGTGGAGGGCGAGGCTAATTTTGACCCACGGCCTGTCACCGCCTCAGAACGAGATCGATGAGCTGAGGACCGAGATGGACGAGATGAGGGACACTTTCTTCGAGGAGGATGCCTGCCAACTGCAGGAAATGCGCCACGAGTTGGAGAGAGCCAACAAAAACTGCCGGATCCTGCAGTACCGCCTCCGCAAAGCCGAGCGCAAAAGGCTCCGCTACGCGCAGACCGGGGAGATCGACGGGGAGCTGCTGCGCAGCCTGGAGCAGGACCTCAAGGTCTGCGGCGCGGGGCTCGGGGGCGCGCGGCAACGGCGGCGGCGGGGCGGGGGGGGCTCTGGTCAAGGGCTTCTGTGCTGAAGGGCTTCAGTGGTGACTGGCAAAGAGCTTTAGCGACACGGAGCTTCGCAGCGCTGACCACAGAATATCGGGATCCGGGAAGGGGAAGAGGGAGAACAGACAGGTGGGTCTGAAGACTCGAGTATGTGTGGAAGGTCTTGACGCGAGCGAGGCCTGGGGGCTCTCCTGGGAGTAAGAGTGACTCTTCCAGAGGTGGGAGGAGGGCGCCTCCGTCCCTAGCGGAAACAAGGGCGTGGCAGGGCGCAGGATCCGGCCTTGATCTGGCCTCCGGAGGCTGCCTTCCAAGTGAAGGCCGGGTGGAACCAGGCACTCAAGAACAGCGCGATGAAGACTTCTCTGGAGGAGTTGAAGCCCAGAATAGGAACAACACTGGGAAGATATTAGAGCTAAGATTTCTCTCTGCAAGATCCCCGGCCCCCTTCTTCTGGGACTCCTTCCTTTCTGTGCTTAGCACTACAATAACTTCCGGAAAGGAAACCTGTCCGCTTGCGGCCCTTCTTGGAGAAGTGAGGGGAGAGGGAACTAAATGAAAGAACCTCATTCTTAGTGTGAAGTTGCTCCTTCAGAATCTCCCCCAGTGGAGAAATTTTAACCTTGAAATGCAGTTTTTAGGCCGGTGTGGGCCGTTCAGTTCAGTTTGACTGTAGGCAGATTCACTGACAATGCAAATCAGATGTTATCTTCATAGCCATGGACAAAGAAACAAATATAATTTTGATTGTATTAACTTCAGCAAGATATAAAAAATCAAGTGTAATTATCCTATATTTGTTTTATTGAAAACTATGAGAAAATATTTTATCCAAGTCATTGTAGTATTTCTCTTTTTTTTCTTTTCCTGACGTTTGTCAAGTGCTCACTATGCACCAGGCACTGTGACAAGTATTGTTACACATATTATTATCTCATTTAGTTTTCAAGGAAAAAAAAAAACTATAAGGTAGAGATTATTAATGGCATCATTTAACAGGTGCCCAAGCTGAACCTTTTCCAGAGGTGAAGTGCCTAGCTTCCAGACCTGGAACTCAACTAGTAGGTGGCTAGGCTGGCTCTCCACTCAGTCTAACCCCACAGCCTGTCCTGAGCCACTACACCAGACTGCTCTACTTTCTTCCAAGCCCTAAAATTTTCAAGATAACTTCAAAACTGGAGGCAAAAATGCACACTGTCATTTTTTTAAAAAAACTTAATCTCAAGGACTGAAATGCTTCCTAAAACTAAGCATGTGGAGATACAGGGTCAAAATTCAAGCCCCATACCCCACTTGTGAAAACTTTGTTTTCTAGTCTTCAAAATGAGTATTAATAGAAGCATCTACCTCATAGTTTTTTTGTAGAATTAGAGGAGATATGTGAAATTTCTCTACACATAATAAAACACAGTTGAACATTTATTATCATGGTGTCATGTAAAGGTTAAGGGAGCAGAGTTGAGAGCCAGACTACCTGGTCATTTGTTAGCTGTATGACTTTGAGCATTTTACTTCAAATCTCTGAGACTCAGTTTCCTCATCTATAAAATATAGGAATAATAACAGTACCTATTTCATGGGATTGTTGTGAGGATTAAATGGTTTATATGTGTGAATGGCTTATATGTAAAGCCTCTGGAAGGATGCCTGGCGTATGGTGAACACTATATAAGTATTGGCTCTTACTACTTTTAATATGAATATCACTTTAGGTCATTTATTTTGTTGTCTTTAATTATATTCTATTGTTACAAACGCTTTCATTTAGGTTGCAAAGGATGTATCTGTGAGACTTCACCATGAACTGGAAAATGTGGAAGAAAAGAGAACAACAACAGAAGATGAAAATGAGAAACTGAGGCAACAGCTTATCGAAGTTGAGATTGCAAAGCAGGCTTTACAGAATGAACTGGAAAAAATGAAGGAGGTTAGTGTTCGATTATCTCATAATGTGCTATGTATTTTTAGCTCTTTAGAAAAGATTCCCAAGGACTAATAGGACTATTAAAATAATTCAGTTTTTTTATGATTATAGGAAAGTTAGTTGTTCTTACCCAGTATAGTAACAGATATATGATTTCATACTAATAAATAAATAGCAAAGGAAAAATTTTGGCCTTAGCCCTGCCTCTAATTTGACATATATGAGCTGTGACTGATGTTTGATCCTGTGTCATCTAAATGTGTATGTTAATTAAATAAATTACACAGCTAAACCAAACACAAAGTGTGTCAAGAGTATGAAGAAATATGCCTTGTATTAGTGGAGGTAAAGAGCTAGTCCTGTGAGATTACTACTGAGTTCGTAGAACCACAGACTTTTAGGATGAAAAAGGTCATTTAATCTAATCTAATCATTGCTTGAATCCTTGTTGTAACAGATCCCCCAAATAATCTAATGCTGAGAGCATCACCAGGGATAAACCCTTAAGATCTTCTGCAGAAGCCAGTGCTATCACAGCATAGCTGTTTAAAGGCTTTCTTTAGTTGAAATCTATTTAATTATAACTTTCGCCAGTTCATCTGGGTTCTACCCTTTAGGGGAGAAGGGTCAGAGTTCTCTTCCACATCAGCTATTTGAAGATTCCTACCATGTTTCCCCTGTTCTTCTCAAAGAACAAAATCAGTGTCAAAGAAAATAATTGGAGGAGAAAAGAAACTGAAAAGATCTAACAAGAAATAATTAGCTTTGTGATAAGTTACAATTTGAATTAAAATAATATTCTTCTTTGAAAACTGCCTGAGAATGTACAGTGGAACTTGTGAAAGCTAAAGAGAATTAGCAAATGCATACGTGGTACTTGGAACATTTTCCTCTGCTTAAATATGCAGAATTTAAATGAAAATCCTAATCTTTCTGTGAACTAACAGAAATCGCACCTTCCATTGCTGTGCTTATCTCAAAATGGAATAAAAATATATCTACCATGTAACGGTGAAAATATCAATAGTCTGATTAATAATATTTAGTGGCAAGAATTTGTAGAAAACCGTTTCAGTGGAATGAACTATTGTGATCTAAGTTTCTACTTATTCTTATATTATCCTGACTTGAAACATTTTTTAACATGACAAATTAGGGCAAAATCATTTTAGTGATATGTAATTGTTGGCTAATACCTAAAGGTGGCTGTGTGTTGCAGTAGAAAAACATGGAGACTGGGATCCATGTGACTGTCTTCACCAGTAACTAACTGGGTGACTTAAAAGGCCTCTAACTTCTACTTGCCTCTGTTTATTCAGTTGTAAAATGCTGTTTTCCATGATTCTCAACATCTCCTGCGGCCATCATGACTTTTATCGTGAAACCCAAGACATTACCATTAAAGAGCAGCATAGATTTTTTTCTAAAGTTAGGAGATCACATATGAAAATAATATAGATTTAAATATATGTTTCCTCAGCAATACTTGTCAAATATGGAAAGTTTGAGTTCCAAGAAACAAACTGAGTAGGCAGGTGTATTAGTTTGCTAGGGCTGCCTTAACCAAATACCACAAATTGGATGGCTTAAACAATAGAAATCTACTTTCTTACAATTCTGGAGGCCAGAAGTCCAAAATTCAGGTGTTGGTAGGGTTGACTTCTTCTGAGGGCTGTGAGGGAAGGATCTGTTCCAGGCCTCTCTCCTTGGCTTATAGATGGCCATCTTCACATTCACATGGCATTCTCTCTGTAGCTGTCTGTGTCCAAATTTCCCCTTCTTGTAAGGACACTGGTCTTATTAGATTAGGGCCCACACAAATGACCTCAATGTAGCTTGATTGCCTCTGTAAAGACTGTATCTCCAAGTAAGATCACATTCTAAGGTACTTGGGGTTAGGACTTCAACATATGAATCCAAGGGACGCAATTCAACCTCTAACAGTAGCTATTAAATACCTTGTTACGGGCCAAGAGAAAGTTCATTGTCAGTTCCATTAGGCTTCATTCCAGTTTCATACCTCTCTTGACTTCTTCCATATTCTGTGTTTATACAATTAAAAACATTCAAGTTAAAAAACTTCACTTGATTAACAGGGATGAAAGAGAAATACCTTGTGATTTGGTATCATATGAATGTGTTTCAAGTGGGTATCTGGAAAGTTGAATTTAAGAATGGCATAAGAGCTTTCTGATTTTCATCCTGTTCCAGGAAAGGGGAAAATGCCTGTAGGCTGGCTGTCCATTAGCCAGACAGATGGGATCTCTCCCATCTTCACATAAAAGCCAAAATAATCTGGCTACCAGAAAGAAGGGCTGAAACCTGGGAATGTCCTCAAGGGGAATCATTGTGAACCTGCATTTCCTTGATTCGGTTCCCCACACCCTTACCTGTGACTATTTCCTCCTTCAGGGCTCTAACTCTGGATTGGGAAAACACTTGCAATACCAAGCAGTTTGGGTAAATATGTTCATGCCAATGAGGCAATTCACATTCTCCTTGGAGTTATAAAAGCCGAATGCCAATCCCTCATTAGGGACTACAACAGTAAAAGTGTAAGGAATTTAGGAGCAGGTATGCAGAACATCAGCTTTTAAAGTAACCTTTTATTAAAAAGATGAGCTCTAAAATAGCATTTACAGGTTGGAATATGGGTGGTGGTGGGGAAAAGAAATAGAAATAGAGAGGAAGGGTGAGTGAGTGCAAGATGAAGATCTGAGGGGTTCTAAATGTTATACAGGGAAAGTGAAAATATTCTGGCAGGAAGTTTTATAATCATTCATTTGAGGTTGACCTTCACAGTGTTCAGAAAAGTGTCAGAAGTAGAAAAAGTAGTTTAAAATTATTGTTTAGAAATCAGAAATGGTCCATTAAAAAGAGATTTTTGTAATGGTAATTTCATTATCCTCCAAGAAGAGACCGAGCTGCAGTAATAACTGGCTCATTTTGCTGGGTAGGAGCTGTAAGTTTGAAGCCTGAATTGTCCTTGTATCACTGCAACAGCTCTAGTTAATCATTGGCTTCTGGGTTGTAAAATGAAAGCATATTCAAGTCCTTGGTGGGTTTTAACCACACAACTGTCATCCCTTTGTGGCATTCTACCAGTGGAGAAAATAGAGCCAGCCCAACCTTTCCATTATGAAGAAAAGACACTAGTTATGGAGTAAAATCATAAAATGTGAAATAGAATATACTAGAGAGAAGCAATCCTCCAATTCCCAGTTTTTAGTTTCTTATATGGAGTCGTATGGATGCTGAACAGCACAACTGGGACCAATAAGCCATCTGCTGAAGTTTGGAAACCATTTACTAAGAGTTTAACTGGCTTTGAGGGTGTTGATCCATTGCTCTCAAGGCTAGTGGCTGCACAAGGTCTTATGCACCTGCTCACATCCATCTGCTTATCTTCTCTCCCTAAGATTATGGAGTAGGCACCTCGAGGTAAGAAGAGTTGAGTAGAGGTAGGACAGAGGTAATTACTGAGTCTACTGCAACTCATTGCTTGTATCAAAACAGCTGATATTCTGCCAACTGCAAACTAGAGGGACCTCTTAGGATGCTGCCTTAGAATCTTAATGGCATTCTCTTCCTGATTATAAAACATTGATTGCCACTAGCAGTATGCTTTCTTGCAGTAGAAAATGCCTTTACCTTTATGTAACCTGGGAAAAATGATGGTCTATCTTTCAGCATCACAAACAACTAGAGAGACAGAGGTTTTTGTAAAAGTTATTTCATGGAAACTACGACTAGCTCTTTGAATGCCAGGGTGAGTTAATGCATATATAGCATAAAGCGAGGACATGGAGGAAGCTCGTATAATAGGGAGGAGGCTCTGTGCGGGGTGACTCTCTGCTACAGTTAGTTGAGGGTCACTGCCCTCCATGAAGTCCTGTTTTTCAGGACTTTATTTATTTTCAAAGCTCTATTTCAAAACCCCTTTGCTGTGCACGAGGTGGGGGGTCTTCTCATGTCACCATTAAAGGTCTGATGCTTGGAGAAGCACTGATGATAGATGTTTGGGAAAGAAAGAATCAGCAGAGGACCTTTGAAGATGGAAAAGGGAGAAAGAGTAACTGAGATGGTGATGATGATGAGAACTGTTTGACAGATCTTTTTCATTTCAGAATCTGTACTCTGTGTTATCTCATCCCTCACCCTCACACAAGGGACTTAAAAGAAAATGATTTCCTTAACTTTTCCTGGTCTTTGCTCTAGAGGGCTCTTAACTGGCCTACTGCAATAGTACCATCTGTCTTGGGACTTTAGTTTTCTGTGCACTTGGTTAATATATCCTATCCATTACAATGAACTTTCATTCTAGAGCACAAAAATAATTAATACTATAAATTTCAACAGTAGTGCCTCTGTTTTTTCGGTTTTTTTTTTTTTAAGAATACATGGGGAATACGTCTGTTTACTCAGACTCTCTTTACAAGATAAAACACTTTAATAAACAAATGCTTGTCCTGCCTGTTTACAATTACCTGTTTATTTTCTTATGTAAAATAAATAACTATTCTAGCTATATTTGGTTTTGATAAGGCATGTTTATCTAAGTTTTAAAGTGCAAAAAAGAAATATTGAGTGGTAAATCAGCAAAGAAGCGGCTCAAGAGACAGTTTTTTTTACTGATGTTTTAATAGTTTATAACATTGTGAAATTTTGGGTTGTACATTTTTGTTTGTCCATGACCATATATAAGTCTCCCTTCACCCCTTGTGCCCACCCCCCACCCCCATTGCCCCTGGTAACCACAGTACAGTTTTCCCTGTCCACGTGTTGGTTTATATTCCACATATGAGTGAGATCATACAGTGTTTGTCTTTCTCTTTCTGGCTTACTTCACTTAACATAATACCCTCCAGGCCCATCCATGTTGTTGCAAATGGGACGATTTTGTCTTTTTTTATGGTTGAGTAGTATCCCATTATATATATATACCACATCTTCTTGATCCAGTCATCAGTCGAGGGACACTTAG